CTCAAGACTAATAGGTGAAGTCTTTGTTTGTTTGATTCCTGACTCAACTAAATGGCTTCACACAATGTTTATTTGGCACCCTATTGTTCTTCAGTGATACAAAAGCTAAGGGCCTAATCCTTTCTGGCCAAGAAGACATAGTCACAGAATGCATAAGTTTTAAAAACATAGCCATCAAAGGTTGGTTTGGCTGCACAGAGCAGTTTTCTCTCTTTCTTGCCTTGAAAGGTGCAGTTTATTTATTACTAGTATCTGCAAAGACCAACTATTTAATCCAATTTGTCCAAGATAAGTAAAATATAGTGTATCATTTTCAAAGGGAAGAAGTGGTTATCTTCTTCCCCCTTAACCTTCACTGTACGTGTCACGCTAGTAGAACTTCAACTAGATTTGTTTTCAGAGGAGACAGACACATAGAATGTCAGATTGCTTGACTACCCAGATCTGCCACATATTCCATGCACGAGTCTCTCCTGCATCAACCTCTTTAGCTAGATTATAATCTAGTTGTGTGGGGTATGAAAAGTTCATTGTGTCCTGAAGCAAATAAATTTTGCCTTAAGAAAACTGTGTACAAAAGTTCTTCTTAATGGTGGGCCCATGTCTGACTTCCTACCGAGGCAATGTACCATAGTGAATTGGCCGGGGAAATATGACAGAAATGATTCATACCAGAGGACTAGGTGGGAGACTTTGGGCAAGTACCTTATCTTACTTCCTTGTCTTCATATTTGGAATGGGGATGATGATATGGCCATTTCAAGAGCTCTTTGAGAGACTTAAGTGACATCATATGTAAAACAACAAAGATGGAACCTGGCTCCTAGTAAGTGCTCAGCATGGTCTGGAAGTCTCTCCCTTTGTGCTATTTCTGTCTACCTGAATGAATCATGCAGAAGAAGTCTACATTTCTTTCCAACTCAGTTGCCATGTCTTCCCTGTCTCCCTTCAGCTGTTCCTTTAGTGACATAACTTGGTGAGTTGTCTTATGCCCTAGAGTTTGTTTTGTTTGAAGAGTGATGCCTAGAAGAAAGACAGTGGTGCTTCAGCGGTAGTCTTATTAGCATAAAATGAAGCAGGGCCATCCCCTACTCTGAGTGCATCTTAAGGTCAAGATAATTTGTGGGCTTCCTCCCTTTTGGGGAAAGCCACATGAGTTTGGGCAAAATAGTGCGAAAATATTATCCATGATATCAGACATTTTCTTTTGGAATTTTGATTTAGCGCTTGTTTAATTTTCTATAATGAAATATCTCATTATATTGCACTGAGTAGTCATCATTAGGGTGAGCTGTGCTTTATGTTAAGGTCCTATTGAAATATTTTGTGCTTTTTTGTGCCTAATTTTTCACAAAATAATTATATTCTTTTATTTTTTGATGGTTATGGCCAGTTTATATATTCTAAAGACGTGCTTTCAACTTTCAGTCATGATGTTTATCTTCTGTTTGCCTAAAGAAAGGTGATTTGGCCATGGAAAACTTTGATGACAACAAAGTAAATGCATGCTTGAAGATATATTGCTCAAGTATCTGAATTTGACCTTGAATATTTTGAAATCCTTTCAGTTGTATGCTCATGTCTCTCAATAGAAAGCAGATTGTTGGATTGAATTTAAGTTTATCCGTATAGTAATTCTCATTCCATTATGAATTAAAACTATTAAGTATTTTACACATACTAATTTGTATATGTATGTGTGTGTTTATTTTATCCATACATATTATTATTGGGATTAATTTATATAGAGAGAAAGTTAGATATATCAAAAGCACTGTTACATTTTTACCTGAATAACCATTACCTGAATAACTAAGCATTGTGTTTTTGAATGAAATGACCTCTATTACTTTGTTTGATTAAGCATTTTCTTTACATTTGCTATCATAGTCTTTAAATTAGTTTTGCCAGGTTTTTTTCAATGGTACTACCCAAAAAAGCTCTAAAAAATGTCTGTGCCTTATAATTCTGAACTTAACCTACAAATTGGCAATAAGAGACTTGTAAAACTCATATATGGGGTCTGCATAGTGTTAATGTTTGAGATTTATTTCCCCCCAAAGGTTCATAAACAGTATTGACAAATATATTGCACTCTGCAATTTTGATATGGCCATAATGTAGGATGGGGGGCTTGAAAGGTTTAAATAAACATTTAAATTAAATTTGTCAGGCATTCTGCAGCAAGAGTTCTGTTAGTGACTAGCATCGGTTTACTTTTATTGAGCATTTTCCAAAGAATAATGATATAGGTCTCTTCTAAAAAACTGAGTAAGAAAGCTATGGCAAAATAAACCCCGAATTCTGCCATTCGTTGGTAGACTTGTCCATTTAAAAACCATACCTATTTTTGATCATTCAAATATACTTTATATCTCTAAAACATGAAATCTCTAAATGGCTTTCTTAAGCTCATTTAATTTGGGACTCTTGTTGATTTTGCAAAACAATTTGCTTGTTGTTGACATAATCTTTGAGTCTCAAGGATTATTTAGCTGGTCATTTTGCTTTTAAGACATATTTCATTCAGGTTAAAAACAATGGATATCCACTTTTGTAGTTTATTTGTTAAGAAATAGCATCAGCTGGGGGGGGGGAATAAAATAAAATAAAATAAAATAAAGAAATAGCATCAGCTGTGGCCAGACTCTATAGAGATATATAAGGCTAGGTCATTTTCTCTATGGAGCTCACCTTTCAGTCAGTAAGATAATCACAGATACAGATTTATGATATGAAATAATAAATGCTGTAATAGGACTGTGTACAAAGTGCAGTAGAAAACACAGTTGAGAGGAAAGTAAGTTTCATGGTGCATTATGTAACATTGTTCCCAGTAAATGGTGCAAATCACAGAAATAATTGTTGAAAATGTGTGTGGGAAGAAAGAAATATGTAAAAACAAGTGTCTTAGAAAATGTTTCAATAACACATATTCTTATTCTTTAGAATTATAATTTCCCATCAGATAATAAGGAAATATCTTTTTAGTTTGAATGTGATTATTTCTGCATAATCAATTTTTATTAATGCTGAGTATCTGTAATTTTAAATTCAGAGATGGAATGTCTATTTTCTTTTTATAAGAGACTCAATCACAAGGTATTCATGAGTATATGTAATCTGGGGCAAAAACCTTTTAAAAATATATATTTGGGTGTGATTTGAAATAATTAGTTGATTTGTTTATCCAAAAATTTATTGAACATTAGATGGTTAGCAAAATGAGAGATGGGCTTTGCTGTATTAGAGTTTGTGGTCTAATTATAAACTCACTTAAAAAAAAAATCACTTGAGTGTAAAAGGTTACTGTTAACTCAGAAATGTACTTAGACATGTAGCAACATTTTGCATAGAGGTATTACCAGAGTGAAAAACAGTATATATCAAGTTTTTTAAATGCAAATTTGTTTCTTCAGGTTAATATTCCATAAAGGTTTTTGTACCTTTGGAATTCAAACATGAACTAATGAGCACATCTAAATTGATAGCCACACTAATAGTGTTCATCTTATTACCTCATGGTTTCAAAAGCACAGCAAAGAGTACTAAATGAAATTTAAAACACTGAAAGTATGTCTCCATGCGAGGCTGTGACTAAACCAAGTATGGAATTGTCAGTTTGATGTTTTCTTGGTTCATGATTATTTATGAAGCTGTTACTTAGCAGACATTCATTCTGAGTTTAGTGTTGAAACAAGCAATACATCAGATTAGGTGCGCTCCAAAATGTATGGTGTGGGGTTATTTTGCGATATGTAGATCTGGTGTTATTTTCCACCATATGATACTTCTTTAATGAGAGATTATACTAGTAGCAATGAGAGAACTGTTTTTCAATTTTTTTTTAACAGCCCCAAATTCAACATAGGTAAAAGTTGAGCTGATGGGAGAGAGGCAGAAATCATATCTGCTTACTTCCTCCAGCACACGCTCCCATTCGCCCTCCCAATGCACCATATTCAGAACAGCTCAAACGTGATATCATTACTGAGGGGAGGAGCAGGGAATGTTCAGGCTTCTGTTGCAAGCCAACATAAGAAAACATGAGTTGGAAGGAAAACTCTGGTTCTCTCTAAAAGTAACTTATAGAGGAGGACAAGAAAACCACTAGAGAGCTGTAGAACTAATAAGCACAAGCAGAGACCCTTGTGGCCTCCTATAAATGTTTTCTCTCACAATGGGTATTCTGTAGAGAACAAAAAAGGCTGTGTTCCATTTTGGTTCTACAATTTTCATTTGTTTTGCGTTCACTAAAAAACTCCTGTTAAGATATGATTTGATTCAGCAGATACTTTGTGGCCAAAAAATAAAAAAAATTAAAAAAATAAAAAAAAAAGATATGATTTGATAATTAGGCATTTCCAATTGCATATTATGCAAGGGGCCTATCTACAAAAATATATTTTTTCCTGTTGTGAGAGGGCAAGAAATATCTTTCATTTCACCTATTAATTTTATTCAATCCAATAGGCAGGTAAAAAATTGAAACCCATCTTACCACTGAATTGCTTGTGAATTAAAGGTAAAACAAGATTAGAATATAACAGGCAAACTATATTGGTACCAGTGTAGATTGCTGCTTTTCTTCTTCTTTTTCTTTCTTTCTTTTTTTTTTTTTTTTTTTTTTTTTTTTTTTTTTTTTTGTGGAACAGCCAAAAAATCATATAGCATTTACATTGAAGTGGATGCAATGTTTTAGGAAGAATATCCTCAAATCAATTAGAGTTCATCAATTGTGTGCGTGTCCTACTCCAGGTTTTTCTGCCTCACAATTACTGTGACTTTACATGAAAGGGGTAAACCATATAGTATACATAGTTATAATAAGCGTAATTTGGCACATTTATCTTATATTAGACTGTAATTTTGAAAAAAGTTATAGTAGTAATTTGATGCATCTGGAATGTGTATTTCTCATATTGTTGTAGATTGTAACGTTGTGTTTCTTTTTTTCTTTTTTTTTCTTTCCTCTCCTGCTGCCCTTCTCCTCTCAACAGTCCTGGTACCTGGGCTAGCTTGGTTCCTTTCCAAGTGTCAAATAGGACACCCATCTTACCGGCAAATGTCCAAAATTACGGTTTGAACATAATTGGAGAACCTTTCCTTCAAGCAGAAACGAGCAACTGAGGGAAAAAGAAATACAACAATAGTTTAAGAAATTTAAAAAAAAAAAAAAAGGAAAACAGGAAGACTGGACAAAACAAAACAAAACAAAGGGAGAAAGGAAAGAAACTGAAGAAAGAAGATAATAGACCAGCAATTGCAGCACTTACAATCACTAATTCCCTTAAGGTTGAAACTGTAATGACATAAAAAGGGTCGATGATATTTCACTGATGGTAGATCGCAGCCCCTGCAACGTAGCCTTTGTTACATGAAGTCCGCTGGGAAATAGATGTTCTGTCTCTATGACAATATATTTTAACTGACTTTCTAGATGCCTTAATATTTGCATGATAAGCTAGTTTTATTGGTTTAGTATTCTTGTTGTTTACGCATGGAATCACTATTCCTGGTTATCTCACCAACGAAGGCTAGGAGGCAGCGTCAGAGGTGCTGGGTGACAGAGCCATGAGCCAGCCATTTTATAAGCACTCTGATTTCTAAAAGTTAAAAAATATATATATAAAATCTCTGTAGCCTTTAGTTATCAGTACAGATTTATTAAATTTTGGCCCTTAACCCAGCCTTTTCCAGTGTGTAACCCAGTTTGAAATCTTAAAAAAAAAAAAAAAAAAAAAAAACAGAAAAAAAAAAGAAAAAAAGGAAAAAAACAGTTTGAACACAAAGGCTCTATGGAAGAAATGCCTCTATGTAGGTGAAGTGTTATCTCTGCATGCAACAGTAAAAATTAATATAATATTTTCCCCACAAAAGAAACACTTAACAGAGGCAAGTGCAATTTATAAATTTATATCTAAAGGGGAATCATGACTATAAGTCCTTCAGCCCTTGGACTCTAAATTGAGGGGATTAAAAAGAATTTAAAATAATTTTGAGCGAATTTATTTTCCCCTCAGTTTTTGAGGGCATTAAAAAGGCATTAAATCAAGACAAATCATGTGCTTGAGAAAAATAAAATTAAGGAAAACACAGCACTTATGTTGGTTTAGCTGCAGCCTCCTTGGAGGTAGAATTTATTTATTTAAAATTACTGGTTGCATCAAGAACCCATAGGGTGTACAAAAGGTTCTATAAAATCTGCATTATAGAGACAAAGAGGCAGGCAAATCCATGTCACAAGGGTAAAGCTTACAGTTTACAAACTGGGAACGCCAGGGTGTAGGATATAAAAACGCACTCTTGAGAAAACAAATGTAATCAGGGTGCTGAAAACTTGCATGGTGCTTTCAGACATTAGCCTTGTTCAACAAATTTCTTGTATTGACAGATCCATAGTGTGCATGGGCAGACACATTTTGCCTCTATGTCTCTTAAAATTTTAATTAAAAATACTCTTTCCAGTAATCCTAATTTGCACGAAGATATAATGTCCACATTACGTGCCTTGCCTTGAAATCTAAAAAACAAAAAACAAAAAAACAAAAAAAAACAAAAAAGTGACATCACTACACTTGTTTTGCTGCATTTATTATCATTTTAAATCTTTACCATTTTTATGACAAAATATTTTGTACTCCAGACGAAGAAAAATGTGTGACATCATGGATTTTTTAGACAGTTATACCTTTATCTCACATTTATAAAGCATATCATGGCTGTGTATAGTTGCCGCTTAAAAATTGTAATCGACCAGCAATATTTTCAGTATTTTGGTGTTTTTTTCTATTAACCTTTCATGTTTTTCATCTTCCAATTAATATTTGGGGGGGAGGGGTTTCAAATTTATACGAATTATGCAATACCAAGTTTTGCCTATGTAGGTAGTGCTTTTAGCTGTATTGGTTATTATAGGTAAGTACACAGATTTAAAAAAAAATAATGTATGCTTTTTTTTTTGTTTGTTTGTTTTAATTGACCAAAGTGGGTACTGCTATTTTTGCAGTGTGATGAGGTCCTTTTGTGTACTGAGAGATGGACAGGGGATTTTTTTTTAATATACATATATATATATTCTGGGGTGGGTGGGAGGATTTTTAACACTTTACAGTGTAGCTGTGAAGCAGTGCACCCTGAGATGGGCCTGGGCTGCAAAGCAACTGTTCTGCCTACTGTGACAAACTTCAACTTACACAGGTTCCCCCTCTCTGACTTCCCACCTGGGGTGCAAGCTGAACTCATTTCTGGTTTTCATAACAACAAAATAGTAAGAACGAGCAAACACAACCGATTCTCCTGGAGGCAGACTTGACTTAAAAAGGCAGACTTGGCTTGGTGATAGTTTTCCTTGAAAGTTTTAAGATCCACAGTGAAGAGTGAGCCTGTCTCATATTTGGCAAAGACATTTGTCGAAATGTCCACATAGAGGATGTTGGACGTTTCAAGCTTTTGGGTTTAACATGTGAATATACTTTCTCCTACAAGACACATTAGATCAGTTGGAAGGAGTGCTCCTGTATTCTTTCCCTGCCACTTTTTGTCCCCATTTCTTCATGGATGATAGCATATGATTTACCTGTGACTTACTACTTCAAATGGATGGCAGTGCACTTGGATTGTTTTATTTTTGTTTTTTTTTATTGTTGTTTTTGATATACAGAAGATTGAACAGAGGATTGCTATGATTGAATGTATTTGGACTGATAGATTAAAATCAAAGTTCAATTTTTAAGGAACACACAAAAAAATAAATCTTGTTAAGTTTTCATTTTACCTGCCCTTTTAAAACTGAGAACCAGAGCAGAAAGGAAATATAGAGTTTTAAGAAATTAATCTTCCTGTGGATGAATTAAACCCATTAGATGCTGATGGGATTTTTTAAAAGAAGGGTACCTCAAATATATATATTTGATTTAGTTTTGAGGGCTAGAGGGTGAATGGAGGCTGGTTTTACTTTGCCCCCTCCCTCACCCCCAAGTTCCACTGAGTGAATTCATTACTGGAAGGAAAATCTTTCAGAATTAGTGACACACGGTAGGCTGTCTTAAGGAGCCCCCTGACCCCCTTTCCCTAGGCCATGGCCTAATAAAATAAACTGTCAATTGTTCTCACAGCATATCATTTAATAATGAATACTTTAGAACAATGCTTATGGGCTGGAGAATTGTATTAGATTAGCCCATTCAGTCTGATAGCCCAAATGCTGAATAGCACAGCGGGATCCCAGCAGTGCAAGTTCAAAAGTAAGTCCAATCATTTCTGTGATACTTGCCCTAGTAGAAAACAGATAATCTCAGCCAAGCTCGTCATGTATCTTTGACCTATTAGGTAAACAAATCAACCTCACAGGACAACACAGTATTTTTTAAGGGCAGACTTGCTCTTTTTTTTTGCCAGTGAATGAGCAGTTCTAGCTAAATAAGTTACACACTGTGGGTATCCCTGCCTGCCTCTTGAATACAAAGGCCTAGTTCAAGTGTTGCTTTTTTATTTTAAATTCATTTTTTTTCTTCTTTCCTTTCGAGATAAAACTATTAAAAGTACTACTATATATATAAATTCTCAAATCCATTTTTCAGCCTCCACCTCTTTTACCAGGAAGTATATTCGGACGAAGGGCCCCACTTTTGCAGGTCTTGCACGCCCCTCCCTTACCCAGAACTGCAGAGCTTCAGGATGGTGAAGGTCACCCAAGGGCATCAGTAGGTGGTGGTTCCAGCCACCGGTTCCACGGCACTGTTGCAACCCACCACTCACAGTGCCTCTGAAGCGTATTTCCCCTGGAGTGACGTGAGCATTTGAGGCTTGTTTAATGAAAAAAAAAAAAAAAATACAAGGCAGTGAAGGAGACTGTACATAAAGACATGGCAAAAATCTTAATTATAGCAATATAGTTATCGGGTAATGTTCGGGTGGGCAGCTCCATTAAAAGATATGTGAATGAATCTGTGAAGCTGCAAGTAGCAAGAAGAGCGAAAGGTCTTCTTAATGAACCGCCTACCTTGTAGACAGTAATTTGTACACTGTATAGTTTTGTTAAGAATTTTTTTTTAAATTAAAATTCCCATGTTTGTAAAGCTAACTTTTTAACAATTATAATGGAACTATATGTTGTTTCCATTTTTAAAGTAAACAAGAATATTCCTTGTTTAGGGGCTGGACTTGAGTTAAAACTCTCCAGTCTCTTAAGTTATGTATTAAAAAAAAAAATCTGTCCATGTTAGGAGTTATTTCACAGATTCCTGTGCTTGAAAAGCATAGGACACTAATCCTTTAAAAAAGTGTAAATGGAGAAAAGTTATATTTTATGAAGGTTATTTTGTTGTATTTAGTATTGGAAAAGTTGGTTTTCAGAGCATTTCAGAATGTTGGAAGCACCACTGTCTTTTTATTAGTATATACGGCCTTTAGCAAAAGTCTTTGTGATTGTTACGTGATGGTATTTAAGGTTAAGTTTCACAGAGCATTCAGGATAGGCAGAAAACGACAACAGTGCTATGTCTCACACAATGTGTCCTCAGGGAGCAGATTCTTGGATTTGTGACTTGTAGCTTCATAAGGACTCAACGAAAGAGATTGCACAGGGACATCTTCAGCGGTGTGACAGCAGGACATGTTCTTTACCTAGACTCAAAATTCTATGTACTGTGTGAAACGATGAAGGCTGCAGAAAGTTATCCCATATTCAATGTACAGTATTCATTTTTAATGAAACAACTCTACAATATTGCTGGCAGATAGGCCCCAAGCATGACATTCAATATAGTTTACATGTTCCTGTCAAGGTCTTTTGTTAACATTAACCAGCTGCATGCTTCCTGGACTTTAAGAAATTGGGTTTCTATAGAAAACTTTTTTTTTTTTTTTATGTGCAGGCTATTCAAGTTCAATAGTAAAAGCTCAAAATTGAATGTTCTACTCCATGCTGAAGGAGCTGAAAGCTGCCTTCTTCATATTTTGCACTTTCTGGTAGTTCCCCTGTTTTTTCTAATTCCTT